ACGCAATTAAGATTGCCTGTTGCCATAACTTCGTTTGAGGGCCAGGTCCTTTGCCCGAAGCCATTAAAGTTGCTAACTATTGCTAAACATCCGGACAGAACAAGGATCCCAGTGGATCGTTTCTATATTTATGTTTGATTGGGTGTCGGACAAACATAATTGGATAGCTCCTTAGAAACGTAACTACGCAAACCCTCGAACTGTAAGCAAACATGATCATACCGCGCCCCGTCAACTCTACTTTAGACGTGCGTTGTTGTTTTATGTAGCCATGATGCTGCTATTTTTTTTTCTAAGTCGCTCAAGTACTTTTATGATTAAATCCGGTATACGAAAGCATTATAAATAGAAATGGTTCCTATGTCCAAGAGTTTGCGTTAAAATAAACCATTTTCTGAAAACCGCGGAACTTATTATGAATGATGTAATTACAAACCAATATTAAGCACAATACACGTTATCTTCGTAATAGTAATATATTAGGTATTTAATAACAAAACTGCTGTTTAGTTTACAAGCTAAATATTTATTTATTTCTAACAATCGAAATATACACCCATGATATCGCCGCATCTCTACCAGCGCATTAGGAATTTTTCAATGCCTTTCTTGAAGAAGTCAGGTAGATGTGCAAGAGTCAACAAACTCATCAGAGCCATTTTGTACTGCCTCTCGAGTATTGAAATTATTCCCTGCCAAGAAGTCCAAAATTTGGGAAAAGAAGAAGCCTGTCGGCACTTATACGATACAACAAGCGGTCTCTTGTAGCTTAGAGACCGTTTGTTTAGCCGTTTCAGATTGTTTAGCGTTGTCGTGTAGGAGCAGCGAGGCCGAGTAATTAGCAAAAGCTGGCCAGTTTCGCGAGCTTCTCCGTTGTGGTGTCCAGTTCCGTACAGTACATATCCAGAGTAGGGCTGGTGCCATTTGCTAAGAAGCTGTGATAAATTATAGCGGCACTACACCACCAAACAACGACCATATCTTTTAACTTACTTGAAGAGTTAGAGTGGGTTATCTTACGGAATACCCCGCTGAGTCAGAACCAGCGTGAGCCGAGGATAACCGGCCTTCCATCACCCGAACAAACCGAAGTAACCATGCCCAGTAAGCATCTTCGTGTGCTGGAAACTGAGGCGTCCTCTGTCACGATTCACCCAATCCAAAAGGACCTGGCGAATCGCCTCGACGGTCCTGCGACCAGCCGAAGGATCGGCCAAGCGCCTGGACCATGACTCCAGCATCCCTAGGTAAATTTTGATTTGATGTCTTTGCATAGGTTGAACCGGGTCTAAAATGATATTTTTATTACAAGTGACTATCTGGTTCTAAATCCCTTCGTTTTTGTGTCAGTTAAGCAACACAAGGCATAACATAGCGCGCTCATGGCGTTGCCGACCGTATGGCACCCAGCATCAAGTTTTTCTCCTTACTGATTTGACGCAAATTGACCCAAATTGGTTTTGATGTCAACATTGAAAGCTAACTCAGCGATAGACTGTGTATCGTCTGCTTCTATTATCAGCTTTAATTTGTTCTCGTAGAGTTTAGTTCTTTGGTGACCATGGGGTTTATTATTTAAATAAAAATATCCATTTCGGAAGCGTTCAAGTCAATAAAGAATCGTGCGTTCGTTTTTATTGTTCACTCCGTACACTACATTAATGTTGTTAGCCGTTTGTGCATCAATATGGAAACGATAAAAAAAAAAATCAATATCAAAAAGATACACGTGCAGGGAAAACTAAACTGATTAGTGTTTATGGAACGCATGATTCTGTATTGACTTGAACGCTTCCGAAATGAGTGAATTTGAAAATATAATTCTATGTTATTAAAATACATTAATCTGCATTCAAACCTTCTTGCCAGAAACCGTGCATAGATTAGGTTTTAAATGGCTAGTATTGTAAAACGACAACTTCATAGGTATGTGGCTAGTAACAATATTCCAGTATAAAGTTGTCAACATTTGTACAAATAAACAAAACCTGTTGCGTGTCGTCGACGTCCCGTCAGCCGGGAGGCACCGCACCCTCGATTTTTGGCTCCTACCAAATGTTCCGTTAACNCGTCAGCCGGGAGGCACCGCACCCTCGATTTTTGGCTCCTACCAAATGTTCCGTTAACACACATGGCTTTTATTTGAAATGGAACGTTTATAATTATGTTTATATGTGTCCGATCTATTGCGAGTGGGCAACATTTAGCACTCGTTGCCAAGTTCATTAATTGTTATGACGGGATTTTATAATGAGATACTGTAAAATTATTTTCGTTCCGTTACATTCTCTAATAGTAAATTCAACCGACATAGATTGAAATTAATATTTCCGCTTTACTGGTTGCTGCTCTTTCGGAAACATAAATAAAATTAACTTACTTAAATTGAAAAAATCTGTAATCAGTCATGTGTTGAAATTTTTCATGTAATTAAATAATAGAATAATGGTGTTCAATTCTTTCCGAAATAATGACATTGGTAGGGGTCCCGTTTGTCATTGCCTACGTCCAAACTGTCGGCGCAAGGCTCACCACCCGCCGCTATTGGCGATTTGTGCCACTTACAAAATTTCTCATGCAAATAACGGCACCACCATCTAAAGATACCGAAGATAAAATTGTTTCATAGGGCTTTAGATTAACGAAAAACAAGACTTCGTGAACAGCTGTGATGAGCTGTGCATGTTCTAGACAAGTTGTACGAAAGATTTGAGATCTAATCTAAAAGGTAAAACGCTGTAGACGTGTGAATGTATGCGTATACAATTTTGGTGATCGCTCCTGGAGCAGGTAATAATTTATTTTAAAATGTTTAAAAGATTAATCATAGCACCACGTTCACGAATGATGCCTACAGTGCTCGTTATTTATTTATATACTAGCTTAAAAAAACATAACTTAGGGCTTTAATTAGAGGAAAAAAGTAGTATGTGATTACTCATGACTCAAGGTGGGTGTCTGTATACAATTTGCGGTTGTCTATAAGCATTGGCGACCGGCCCTTAGAACATTTGAATGAAGTGTACATGCGCCAGAAATAAACAGACCGGCGCAGCAGTAGCAACTCTCATGAGCTTGCAAAGTGCTCTTAGCAGGTAAGAAGCTGGAGCATTTCAGCTGCCGACGGGGTGGACTCATACCTAATTGTAAAAATAACAATGCTTTTAACTAAATTGATGTAAATACTCGTATAGGGTGACTTTTCGTTGGAAAATCCGTGTGTTAATTTGATAACTTCACACCCGTAGTTATGACAACGAGAGAATATCACCCGTCTCGTAATTGTGTACTGAGCTGTTTCTACTTTTAGCTTATGTTCTTGAAATCCGCAATGCTTATTAGATCAAGTTTCATGGCCGTGTATCATTCTCATGAGAAACGCAGACCGCATACAGAATTATTAATTTGTTTGTAAAATGTCATAGTATTCTCCATTTGGCACGGATTTTCAGTGTGACGTCGTATCGATAGCGCTATAATGTAACTTTGTTATTAACTGACNAGCTGTTTCTACTTTTAGCTTATGTTCTTGAAATCCGCAATGCTTATTAGATCAAGTTTCATGGCCGTGTATCATTCTCATGAGAAACGCAGACCGCATACAGAATTATTAATTTGTTTGTAAAATGTCATAGTATTCTCCATTTGGCACGGATTTTCAGTGTGACGTCGTATCGATAGCGCTATAATGTAACTTTGTTATTAACTGACTTCAATTTTGGTTGTTACAGTTTAAAATTATGTCCTTGTTGGTAGAGCATGCTGACCAAAGGGCGTTCAACGGTTACCGAAGTTCATGGATACTACTAATATGTAGACTCCTATCCATTTTAACAAATGATATGTTGGTTAGTTATTTCAATTCTTTTTTATTGCTTAGATGGGTGAACGAGCTCACGGTCCATTACGCGTAATGCTGCTAACAGAACTAATAGACATCACAACGTGAATGCCGCCACCCACCTTGAAACATCAAGTCGAAGCCTTAATAGAATTGTATAACGGAGCGATGAAGGCCCAATCTCGGCAGTCCGTACTGGAGACAGGATTCAGCAAGAGGCCGATTCTTCGACCAGATTGTTAAGTTCGTCCGGTCCTCGGGAACTGGGTGAATCGTGACTGCGGACGCCCCAACTTCATCACCATTACGATGGCGTTCCACAAAGTTTAGTGATAAGCGAAATATCTTCTATGAGGGTCTCTCTCAGAGCTTGTTTCTAAAATAAAGAGCTCTTTCGGGCAGGAATTGAATTTAGTTCATTTCAACCCATTCAAGACACAAGTGTTCGCGGAGAACGAAGGCCCTATTTGCCTTGGCGTCACAATTCGAAGGAGTATCCCTGCAACCTTACACAAGTATTGGAATTCTTTCGGTCGACGTTTCGAGCGATGTACAATTATTTGCACAATTCGGCCTCGTATGAAGCACTGCTCCCACTCAATGGCCAGGGCTCCCTAATACCAGCTATATCTATTTGACTCCATACAAACGAGGTCCGTCCGGATTATCGATAATCCTATTCTCACCGATCGTTTGGAACCTCTGAGTCTACGGGGGGACTTCGGTTCTCTGTCAGTTTTGTATTGTACGTTTTCCTATGAATGCTGTGAGGATTTATTTGAGATGATCTTATCATCTCATTTTTATCATCGCACCGCTCGTCGTTAAAGTAAAGTTCATCTGTACTACCTGAAACTGCGGCGTTCATCCACAATGCGTTTCTAGAGATCTTTTCTGCCACGTACGATCCGGCTTTGGAATGAACTCCCTCCACGGTGTTTCTCGAGCGCTATGATATATACTTTAATTTAAACGAAGCTTTCGGAGAGCACTCAGCGGTTAGCTCTGCCCCTGGCATTGTTGGTGTCCATGAGTGACGGTAACCACTTGCCATCAGGTTTGCCATATGCTCGTCTGCCTACAGTCGCGAGAGCGATTCAACTAGGGTCCCGTGTACCCGGTCGGATTGGTGCTGCTAATCATCTTATAAGCTATGTACCTTGTAGAAAGGAACCTCGTCATGACCTTTGCCGGCCTCGATGGTGGCGGCCGGCCGTAAAACTACCTGCAAACAGAGTCACAACTCAAACCATAAAATAGCAAATAGCTAGTTGTTTGGAAGAAAATCGATTGCTACTGAAATGTCTTGGAAAATTAAAGTGACAATAGCGCAAGTCCAACCGATCTAATGTAAATACGCCGCGATAGATATCAGAATTACAAGGCACAACCGTGCTTACCGTGGAATGCTCTCTTTAAACTTAGTTCGTATAAAGGCATATTATTGCCGTTAGGCCTTGATGTCCATTGATTACCGGCTAGTGAAGAAAGCTGTTTTTCACTAAATATTCCACTAAATATACCAAATAACCAAATTACGGAAACAAAGATACCGACGTCCACATTGAGGTTTCACCACATTTCGCGTGGTGGTGAAAACGAGGTGGCCTGCCCATCTACGAAGCCTGCCCATCTAAAAAAAGGTTTTAATTTAATATTGAAACACGTTTGTTCTTATTTGTTAGTTAAGTACGTACTACGAAGCGTGATTCAACTAAATATAAAAGAACACGCAGAATGAGAATAGGAATACTCAGTGAGGCGGTGTTATATTTATATGACCGTTAGGAGATTTCGAGTGTGAGTATAGGGAGAACTTGGGTTCTCTGTGTTTTATACCCTATGTTCCAAGCGAAGTGCTCTGATGTATTGTTTAAGACAACGCCGCCGTCGTCATTTCCGGAGCTGCGCTTACTCACAGTGCACAGTACACAGTATTCCATAGGTGCCATGTACCATCGGGCTCTTGAAGAAGTTCCGCTCCCCGGTGTTTCCTGAGCGCTATGAAATGTCCTTCTTCCAACGAAATTTCGGGAGCCCTCAGCGACAGTCGGCGTCTCGCTTTAGTCCCCAACACTGCCGACGTGCATCAGTGGTGAACATAAAGTTATACTCTACGAGTGTGTTCTATTCTAGGATGTTGTTATGATTTCAGTATCAGATATGAGTTTTTACGCTCGTTTTTTATGCGTATAATTTGATTACTTTTCTGATTTACTTTGTTTAATCATTTTAGCCAAGTATAACGTAATTGATTCATAATAACAAGTTCAAGTATGTTATATGCAAGTAAATGAAATAGTGTACAGTCGACATGCTAGGCTAGGCTCCACCGGTGGTACGTTTTCGTTATAGTGTTTGGAATGTTCCCACAAGCGCCAACTACAACTGCACAAACTTTGAAACGAATCAAATGAGTTTTGAGCGATTTCATAGAAGCCGCACTAATTCATTATTTATATTAACTGAACTTGAGTGTAAGAATTAGAAATGTTGTATTTTCGCTTCAATTGGCAGGGAACCACACGATCAATAGTGCTCATCGTCAGACGTGGACATCGGCTGAACCATAGATGAGGTTTGACGAAAACACCGCACAAATGATCTTTATATTGGTGTTTGTCTGCAATTGTCGATGTCCGCAAATAAACATAAAATTTACCGAAAGTAAAGTTTCACATAAATTGCGAATACATACAATCAACGGTTTACAAATACCGATTCCCAAAAAAAACGAGCTAAATAAATTATGATAAATATGGTTATACAATGAGTCAACCATAAAAGGGGAAATCGTAGTCCCTGGAAACACTAATCCGAGGGGCTCTTTAAAAGATACAAAATGTCAATCGTCAAAGGATATCAGATGCAGAATTAAATCGTACAATAAACATATTTTATTGAAACGTTGACAACTCCGACATCTATTTTGTTAACATACATACATATGGCCAAGAAATGGGGGAAAAACACACACACACACACAGACACACACACATACAATCAGGTCGCATCATGTCGCGCCAAAACCAGCTATAAGCTACTGACATTCACTCTGAGAATCAAAATTCAAAATCACATTTTTGATTACCTGATGATGATTCATCCGACCGATTTCGGCCATGGCGACCACTTTGACTCCTATCCGTCGGTTTGGCGCTCGTGCGCTCGAAGATGGCTGATATAGCCTATCTTCTCGGCAAAGCTCCTTGCGCATTGAGGGCACGTAAGCACGCCGTTCTTATAATTATAGGTTATGGCAGCAGATGGGCGGGCCTTCAACTGGTCGCGTTTGTAATCAAGGTCAGCTTTACGCTGATCCTCGAACTCGCGTACTTTGCTGTTCACCATCCTGCGCCATTCTGGCCGCTGTGCTGCCAAGCGCTTCCATTGAGAGGGCTCTATATCACATCTCTTCATGTGTCGTTTCACGACATCCTTGTACCGCAGGAGCTGTCCGCCATGCCTTCGCTTGCCATCTTTGATTGCCTACCACCTACTCCGAATAGATGTAAGGCAGGATCTCATTAACATGACTCTTCCTCGTCAAGTTCGGCGGGGTAAGAGAAATGATCATATGGCTTGGATTTATTTAAGAAAGCACACAAGCACGCAAGCACACAAAGACTGTGCCTCTGTCTACGTTTCTTGGTTAACTAGGTCAGATGACTTATTTTGCTGCCCCGAATTGAATAAGGATTAAGGGGAGTATCTTTCAGAGTAACTGTCTGAGCCCTTTGTGATTTTGTTTAGTGCTTAATCCTTTAAGTACATTCCGACTTCGCAGAAGAACTCAGCTTATATCACATTATTTATTCAAATTTACTCAAATTATTTGCTTCCAAAAAACCAGACTTGACGACATTACATAAAATAACTGAAAATTTTAGTAAAGCCATTGGGATGGAATTTGGGATTGATAAATGTGGGTTCATAAGTGAGAAGGGATGGTAAAGTTGGGAATTTATATTGCTTACAACTTAACCATGGTGTGGTCCTCAAATCTATTTGTGAATAGGAGACCTACAAGTACACTGGTATCTTCGAAGCGCTGAATACTTTATATGCAGATATGAAGCAATCGCTTAGAAATAAGTTCTTCGGTATAAATATAATTCGGTCTTGAAAAGCCATTTTTCTATGTTCTAAAGTTTACCGGACACTCTCAGGGTCTGATGTAGACTTCCGTAGCCTGGTTTATATTCAGTAACCTCTTTGAGGAAACTAAAGGTTTCGTTTTTGCACTTATGGAAGAAGTTATCATGACAAACGACTACCGGAAATATTTACTAAAAGATGGGACGGTCTACTTTTTCAGCCATGCCACCGTCCGGGGGTCTATTAAACTATTTCCGGCGAGTACTTACATAGACAAATAAACCAAGTGACTATAATTATCTATCAACAATTTGCTCTGAAATGTAGTTTTGTTGATTCAACTGCACCTTATTACCGATACCATTATTATTTTTTCCGTGGAGTGGCAGAACCTCACAAGAAACGTCCACCTTCTAGGGGGTATGCGGGGTATGTGGGAATGTCGGTCTGCAAAAGTTGGGAGCAGAAAGCGGACCCAAGGTTGTTTTTAGAGCCATACCCACCAAATCACTACCTTTACACTCTCTCACCTGACGTCCGATCTCCGCCCGGGGTCAGAACCCGGACAGAGTAGGAGGGTTCCCGCGGCCAACACTACAACCAGTAGTGTAGTGTACGACGCCACCCCGAAGACGCCCTACCGACGGACCTCCGATGCGATCCTCGACAATCAACGACGCCAGTCTCCGCGGTACGGCGGCCGATCCCGGGATACTCCGCTGGGTCAGAATCAGCCTACCGGGTTGGTAATCAGCCGAATTGGCCGAAGACTTCACTGTCCTAACTTTCCGAGACGTTACTTACTATGAAGCAATTGTACAATTCTCATTCTAAGAAAGATAATGTCAATTACTGGACGACTGCTACTGAAATAGACCCAATCAAGTGTTATACATAGTCTACCTATAGTACGTCTAGTTCGCGATACACACAGAGGTGCAGTCGGATCTCAGTCATTACTCACTTATGTGTACTATGTAGTCAATATATTATACGTCTAGTAAATATTGCAAGTAGGTTATGTTGCGCTGAAACCTGTTATCCAGTTTGTCTGGTTCAATACCAGTTGTACTGCTTTTAGTTTCTTACGTAGATTACGTAACGCTCGCATTATTTTTTAAGATGTTTCGGTTTGCTTGTTTAGTTTAAACGCGTTCGAGGCTAGGTTCGTAGTGTTGTACATGTCTCCGAATCCAGGGGCCACAACTTCGATACTCAGCACGTACGACACCGCTAACTAATTGTATTGTTTACAGTTTTATTCTAAAATAACTACGTAACGTGAAATTGATTCGGGGTTAGAATCTTGTTAATAATATACATATTATCTATGTAAAGAAGTTGGTGACCTTTAATTTGAATTTTGCCGCTTTTACACTGTTTGAACAACATTTCGAATTAATATGAAATGACAATAACAGCGGTGATATAGATGAAAAAATATGAACTCATGAAATTAATTTCGTTTAGAATTCGGAACTAAATTATAATAAAAATAGACTTTAAATCTCGTTATTTTTGTTTTAACTGGTTAGTGTAGTAGTAGTTAGTAGTTTGGTATGTAACTGAAACGGACATCATATAAAATATTTTGTTTTGGAGAGGAAGGTCTTATTTGACATACATAATAAAATAAATAAAACTTCAATACGTTCAAAAAGTATAATTGCAATTTTATAGATCTTACTTTAGTTTATAGATCTATTATTTACATTGTTATTTACGGTAAGCCTAAGAGAGGGCGCGACGCTGATTACCTCGTGAGGGCGTTTTCCTTTGATATGACAGCGCAATTTGATCAAATTCTAGAACGAACTTACTCCTTCCACATCTCTCGTAGCTCTCTTATCTTAGCTCGATCTTGGAAATCGATTAAAATGTGATCTGCTAGAAAAGATTACTAAAAAGATTTTCATTAACTAAATATAACGAAGATAAATCGCTTCCGATCCGGAAATCGTTCATTTCAATATATTTGGTATTGTAATCGGCTAGAATGGACGCTGCATTGCCACTAACATATAAATTGGAATAGTAAATACTTCCATTTGTCCCAACACAGAAGAGGACCTAGGTTGGGGCCTTTAAATCCACTACAGTATACGACTAGAACCTTTGGCCTGTAAA